TGTCTGCGCGGCGCCGGCGGGGTTGGGGGGGTGTGGCGGCGTGCCGTGGTGGGGGGTGGGGGGGGGTTGGGGGGGGGCGGGGCGGGGTGCGGGGGGGGGGGGGGGGGGGGGGGGGGGGGAATTTCTGCCCCTAAACACTTCAACACTTCTTTCAGATCGTTTTTCACAAAAATTGGAGGATCTTTTTGCAGGTGTCGATCAAGCGGATGGTGATACTATTAATCTAGCAGAGTCAGAATAGGACGCACAGAAAAAATAAAAACTAATTGAGCTTAAAGTTTGCGAAAAAGTCCACAATATATCTCAAAGTTAGCTCACAGTGAGTTAGGTATGCTACAAAGTATACTGAACTACTAAGTCTACGTGTATAACAGGCTGAGAAGCCGCTTAAAGAGAACAAAAATGTTGATTACAATAACATTTTTATATTCCATTGCGATGTATCGAATACATCATCATAACGTCACAAGAACTTATACCTTACTAACATGTCTCATCACATAAACACATTCTCACAGCAAAAAGAAGGTTATATCAACCGAATACTTTCACACAGTAGTAATTCTCAACGCGAACTTTAAGCTAAACACAAAGACCTACCAGTATAAGTACCAACTGGGAATACTTTTATGACTTTGCAACAGACAAACTCTTCCTAGACATTGAATTTTTCTGCTTTTGAACGATTCAGTATCACCACAGCTACTCAGCATTTTCACTTTCTTCTAGCTAATTATTCCAAACCTATAAATAATTTTTCCTATGTTAACTGCCATTTTCCTCAAAACTTTCAAATTTTCAGTCATCAAATATTTACATAGACATAAACACTGATTACCATTTTACCCTTTTTCAGAGTCATTATTTCATCTTTTCAAAACATTTTCGTATTGAAACTATGATTATTATCATAGATTTTCATTTTTCCCTTCTCCAGGAGCATTTTTCTGAGGAAAATTGTCCACTTTTCTCGATTCTTATGGGCTTTCGTTGTATAACAACGTTTTACTCAGTGTGATGTGTTGTCTTGGGGAGGTATTCATTTTTGTCACTGATCGTATTGTTGTCCAACCCTCATACTTTGTTATTTGAGAGTAATTAGTCCATCTCATCTCTAATTGTGAGACTAATGATTAGCAGCTACAATGAAAAAAAAATAATGTGGTTCTTTTCTTCATATTCACTGTTGCACGTGTGTTGCAACTGTGATGGCCTGAGCCAGTTCGCGTACGGAAGAATGGCCAAAGAACATTTCGGCATCAATATCAGAATAGATACGTTCACGAATAAGGCAGATTGCTTGGATTGAGAGAAGGCCTGGATCGATCGGTTGGCCATTGTTGAACGATGATGGAAGTTGTTCAACTAATGACGTGAACGGAGCGAGCACGTCGAACTCGACGTCGTTCGGCCATTCAAGTGTGTGAGCAAAAATTGCGAGTAGTTCATGTTCGATCGGGCTAAGTTCGTCGACTGATGGACGCAGCACTCGCCAGCCACCATCTCGAGGAAGACGCACTCGATCTAGTCGACCGTAGTCATCTAATGGCCATTCCGACACAATGAACCATACGGCGGGGACTTGAAACGTGCGCATTGTGTGTCGACAATAGGACACAACCCGATTTAAATCAGTATCGGCGGGTGCCAACAAATAGGCGGCAGCATTGTTAATAGCAAGACAGCAATCTAATGCTGTATGACATGCGGCGATTATCGTTTCCATAATGAATTTGTCTTCAATTGTCTGCTTTTCACAACCCATGTAGACGAGTAACTCTTGCTGATTGTACATTGCTCGATCACCTGTCGCCTCAAAACGATGTGATGTCTCGACCACGTTCAACTCGCCCACTTGACCGATCCATGTCGAATGCCCATACTGATTAAGAACGGTACATGCGCGCAACAGCCGTCCAACGGGTACAATCGCTGTCAAATCATCGTCGATGGTTTGGATTTCGTAGCAGGCGGTAAGACGACGCGAAGGTGGAGCATACAGATGAAAGAAACGGCATTGCCGCGCTGGTAAACGATATTGAATCTGTTGAATGGCGCTCATTCGAAGCAATGGACTTCCTATACACTATATAGACGCATAATCTCAAAGACGACCGCGATACTCACCTGCTCCACTCAACCAGGCAAAGCAGCGTACATTGCTACCCGTCAGATCAACTTGACACCACTTGAGGGTCATTGACGGGACAGTTAAAATGCATGTCACACATTGATCATGTACACATTTGAACAGATCATCAATTCCACTGTCTCGATCGATGACAATGACACGTGATCGTCCTTCGTTTGGAATCGCTACCGGTGAGTGAATCAAAATAACATCGTTATCAGTCAGACCGACTTGTTGCGTTAAATAATCGACGATTCCTCCATCGAAAATTCCCGGTGTTATTAACGAGCACCGATCAAAAATGACTTGTTCATGTGGAAGAATGAGGTGTAAATTTGAAATCGGATCTTGCTCTTTGTTGAATGCCGATTCCACCGAAAAGAGTTGATTGATAAGACAGTTGAATCGTTCAACCATCGTCACAATTGTACTCTGTCGAAACAGATTAACAGAACCCTGAAGTATGCATATCATCATATCGAGACTCGGATTGGTTAACAGACCAAAACCAAGATCAATCGGGTACGGATCTTCTTGTCGCGCGGTCATTTTTTGCGTGACCAAGTGGCACAAGTTCAAATCGATCTTTGGCCGAGCAAAATCGTCTATGTGTTGAACGATCATGGCTGTCTCAACGAAAGTAAATGGCCGTTGTGAAGATATTCGGTCGCGATGTAAGTAGATAATATTATGAAGAGGATAATCAGAGTGAGGCAGAAGATTGGTAAACGATTGGTGAACGTACTGTACTAGTTCGGTGAAGGATAATTGCTCGGATATTTGAAGACACAATGGTGCTGCTGCGGCCACGAAACCAATAATAGACTCGAACTCTGGTCTGTACCGATTGGCGTGAGCAGTACCTACGCAGACATTATTCCATCGACCGGTCAACAGAGCGAGGAAAAGACAATAACAGGCAAGTGTCAACTGGTAAACAGTGAGTTGTTGCTCTTGGGCATAGGCAGTCATGCGACGTACCGTGTCAACATACAGTAATTTTCTGTGAGAAACACTTACGCCCGTTCGTCGTGCATGTACCGGTAGGCGAAAATCATAGGGCAAGCCGAGTGGCAAATGACCAGGATAGCTGGCGAGAGTCTCCTTCCAAAACGCCTCCGACGCCGAGTAGTCTTTGATTCGTGCGTGCACAGCATAGTCAATATAGTCAAATTTGGTTCTCATTGCTTCCTTCACGCTAGTGAGTGCTGATCGTTGTGCAATAGTCTCCAATTCATTGCAGAGCAAATCTAACGATGCACCATCGAGAACACCGTGGTGAACATTAAGTACCATGACATCACCGGACCGTAAGACACTTTTGTCGCTGCCCTTCTGAAAGATTAAATGCAAGCGAAAGATGGGACCATCCTCTAAGTTCATGCTGGCATGGGCCACTTCTTCCGAAATTCGACGATTCATATCATCGGCATCGGTCGCTATACTCAGCTGCTGAGTGTACATTTGGCGAATGTTCACTACTGGGTGAATCGATTGGCGTAAGGAGCGATTGTGAACGTCGAAATGAAGTCCTGTCCGAAGTATGCTATGCCGTTCGACAAGCTCGTCTACGAACGTGAAAAGATGATCAACGAGCAATTCGCCCGTGTCGACCCGATACACATCGTACATATTGTAGATAATAGAGGGCTGGTCACGTGGTCGAGCATATATTATAGATTCAATTAACCACGCGGACTGTTGGCCTTTTTCGGCTTCGGCTGAAATGAAAACAGTATTGAATCAATCATTCTTCTTGATGGCCAATACTCACCTTCGATGATGTTGAGTGGCTGCCAAATGTAATGATGTTGGGTTATCGTCGTCTTGAATTGAGCATTGGCTATCAGCATCGCATGTTCTCGAATGGTACTCTTTGTGAAGAGAAGATTGAGCGAAACCATTTGCATATTTGCGCCAAGACGTGACTGGTAGCGATGATACAATTGAATGAGCGAAAGTGAAACACCGCCCAGGCTAAAGAAATTGGCCGTGACAGAAATCGGCGACGACGGTTTGATTTTAAGAATTTCATGCCACAGTTGTACGATTTGTCGTTCAAGATCGTTGCTTGGTAAAGCATATTCTTTATTCCAAGTCTCATTTTGTGTCAAATTTACTTTTGGCAAGGCCTTGCGATTGATCTTGCCATTCACATTCAGAGGAAACTGTTCGAGAAGAATGAAGGCCGATGGAACCATGTGATCCGGTAGTTGAGCCTGACAATGCTCAAGTAGAACTGTGGACAGTTCATTTGATCTTGACTCGGGTGTTTGAACATATGCGACGATATGTTCTTCGTCGCATGTTGCCACCACGCAGCCAGAAACAAGTGGTGAACCATCAAGAACACACTTTTCAACTTCGCCTAGCTCAATGCGTTGACCCCGTAGTTTAATTTGAAAATCTTTTCGTCCAATGTAGTCGAATTCACCCTGTGCACTGATTCGTACGAGATCACCCGTTTTGTAGTAAGTGTAACCATCCGTATGATACCTGAGGACGATTCTAGTTAAGTCGTCTCGTTTGAAGTAGCCTGCAAAGAGTCCAACGCCACCCACGAGTAATTCCCCAACTTGTCCGACAATTACTGGCTGTTGGAATTCGTCGAGCACCAAGCAGCGGTAGCCAGGCAGAAGTCGACCGATGGGAATGCTTTGCCTATCGCTTGTGAGATCAATCCGATGGCAAATGCTGATCATTGTCGTTTCGGATGGACCATACAAATTCCAGATGGCACAGTCCGTCGAGACATGAAACCGTAGCTGTTCCACAAGCTTCGCATGTAAAGTTTCGCCTATAATATAACAAAGGATTGATCGAACTCAGAAGAATACATCTGTAGATTTTGGTCGAGCTTTGGCGCTCAGTCTTCTTATTGATCTTTTTAATTCTTTGCTAACTGTCGTTTTGCACAACTGTCCTGCAAACATCCATCTAGTAATTTAAGCTATTTTAAATCTGCCATCTGATTAATTCGAGTATTTAAATAAGACGGGATGATCCACGATGATCCTCAAATTGGGAACTGATACCATGAGTAGAATGAGCTCGGTGAGCTGATTCTACGAAGGCATATGATGACATAAAATGTTGAAATATAACTGTGAGTTTTCATAAACATTATTTTTTCAGTTCATGAAGATCTCCGATCATCTATATTTTATGCCAGTTAGCAGTTCGATGTGAGCTATATACAAATCCAAAATATCAGATTTATATACATTGTAGTCTAAGAAAAATAGCAGAAATGCACTTCCTCAATTTCTAGCTTTATAATTGAATTTCGCATATGCAAGGCAAGAGCAGGAGCCAGAGGTAGGGTCAAAATCTAATCTCAGGTGAATGAGATGGTATAAGAATGGATGATTAAAACTATTATTTTCATTCTCTCCCTGACTTAAGTGCTGATCTTATCTCTGCCTCTTACTGTTATTCTCACCCTCTTACTCTCAAGATGCGACAATTGATAACAGAGTTAAATTGGACATGGTCACACGAGTTACAATTGTGACTTTATGTCCCTGCGCACATGATATTCTGTCATCATACATGACGACTTCTGGTCTTTCATAGCAACTTTTAGTTTTTGATGCCAGTCCTTGCCGAATAATCGTACTGTGCTATCGCCACAGAAAATACTTGTGTCAGAAACACGACTAGTCGATCAGCATATCTGCTCTTCGTCGCACAAAATGTACGCCTAAATGATTGTTTCTTTTCTTTTGTCCACTACTCTTAGGATGAAATAAGACTGCTTTACAACTCTAAATCGGCTCTAGCTTTCAGCTGTGCACTCACCACCGCTGCACAACGTTTTTAGTTTATCCAAACGAGGTATCCGATGTTCGACAAGGTAATCACACAGTGTTCTGAAGTATGTGGGTACACTTTGCATGTACGAGATCTGCTTATCATTTAGTACTCGTGTCAGGTATCCAAGATCGAGATTGCCTTGTGGCCGAAGCATGACGACCGTTGCTCCAATAATCAATGTCCCGACAATATCGCGCATGTGCATGTCGAACGAACATCGAGCCATTTGGATAATTGTATGCTTGGCATTGAGCGGACCAATATTTGTCAACGCCTGAATGCAAGCAATGAAACCACGATGACGTATTTGTGCCTAAGAAATAAGAATTGGTAAAGGCTGTGTCCTCGTCTGCTCATAGAACTGACTCACCGCTTTTGGAACACCTGTTGAACCAGAGGTGAAAGTAATATAAGCTATACTGTCACGGGTCACTGCAACGGAGGAGAGTCGATCAATGTTTTCTCCTTCTGTCAGATTAACCAAGTCAAGGCTCAATATTGTGGTGATACCCTCGCATTTGTCTTTCGTCAAGGAATGAACAAGAACAAGAGAACTACCCGTTTCTTGCACGAGTTTAAGTCGACGTGCGGGCGGATCGCGAGCTGGCAGTGGACAATAGACTGCACCAGCCATTTCAATAGCCATCAGTCCAATAACCTGCTTATCAAGACATAGAAGCACATCTTATATTTAGCACACTCACCATTTCAATACTTCGTTCGACGCATTGGCAGATGATCTCTCCTGATTGTATATGTCTTGTATCGAGCAAGTGAATAGCGAGCCGTTGAACAAAAAAAAGCAGTTCGCTGTAAGTCAATGACTGATCATCGAGTTCCAATGCCACTTTTTGCGGATACATTTCGGCCGAATTCACAAATGCGTGCTGGATGCAGTCAAATGATGAATCGTACGCTGTGTTATTCAGTGCTGCTAAGAGATGCATCTCGTCTGGAAGGAGCAATGACAACTCAAAGATCGGCTGCGTAAGAATTCGATTGGTAGTCGGCTGGTTGGCGTAGAAGAGTTGTCCGAGTAATGCATGAAATCGTTTGGCCATTTTTGATACGGTCAGCTCATTAAATAGGTCACGTGAACCTTTGATTGTGTATGTCAACTTGTTGTTGTTCTTCTCATAGGCAAATTCAAGTGAAAAATCAAAAATGGTAATAGTAGACGATGAGCTCGCCGTCATTGATTCTAATAGCGTTGCATCGTCCAACTGGATGCTCACTCCGCTGTTTTTTGTTGTGAAAAAATTGAAAAATGTACCCATGAAGGCGGCCGACGACGATGGTACATGATGATTAGCAATAATATGTTGCAATGGAACGTGCGAGTGTTCGAGAATGGCTAGACACCGTTGATTAACTTGACTAAGCAGTTGTTCGAATGACACATACGGATCGACTTGTAACCGATAAGGAAGTGTGGCTGCAAACACGCCAATAATGTTTTTTAATTCCGGTCGATGTCGATTTTCGTGTAAGCAAGCAACACATAGATCACATTCACCATTGCTCAGTTTGAATAGAAACACATAAAAACAGGCGAGACCGAGCTGAAATGGAGTAATATTGTGAGATGAAGCATAGGCGAG